GCCACCTGGCCCCGCCCCACGGCCACGGTCCGCTGCAGGTCACGCCCCGCCACCTGGCCCCGCCCCACGGCCACGGTCCGCTGCAGGTCACGCCCTGCCACCTGGCCACGGTCGGCTGCAGGTCACGCCCTGCCACCTGGCCCCGCCCCACGGCCACGGTCGTCACGCCCTGCCACCTGGCCCCGCCCCACGGCCACGGTCGGCTGCAGGTCACGCCCTGCCACCTGGCCCCGCCCCACGGCCACGGTCCGCTGCAGGTCACGCCCTGCCACCTGGCCCCGCCCCACGGCCACGGTCCGCTGCAGGTCAGACCGCTGTCCTCCACGGACCATACTCAATGGGTCAGCAGCCCTTCCGGCCTGGGCTCCGTACGGAAGCTCTGTGGGCATCGCATGCACAGACGGCGGGTGGCCGTGCCTGAGGTGGGCTGGCCGGGAATGGAAGCGGGTCACACAGTCTCTCGCAGACGCTGTGCCTCTCTGAGCTAAGCACTGGTTCACTGCAAGGACGGGCCTTTGCCGCCGCGTCGGTACAGCTGCCATAGCTCCTCGCTCATTCCCTCTGGATCACTCCAGGGGCAAAACGTGGGAGGGGCCACCCCCATCCTCACCACTGTCACTGCCTGTTTCCCACGGAAAAGAACTTGGGGGATATAAAACATGAACCTCTTGACCGGACGAAGCGTAAACCTCCCTTGAGGCCTCTGTGGAAATTCTGTGGTTGGTTTTATGCTGTCAAGTCAAACCACCTACAGGGTTCCCGAGCTGCAGCCTCTCCAGGAACAGATCACCAAGTCTCATCGAGCCACCAGGTGGCCTTGAACTGCCAACCTTTCAGGTAGCAGTGGAGTGCTTAACTGTTGTGCCACCAGGGTTGCTGTAGCGTTTACAATTTGCCTGCTTAACTTCCCACTGTTTACTTCAGCTACAACCACCTCACATAAAAACCAAAACCCAAATTCACTGCCATCAAGTCGGTTCCAACTCGGAGCAACCCCCACTGGGTTTCCAAGGCTGTAAATCTTTATGGAAGTAAACTGCCCCGTCTTCCTTCTCTAGAGCGGCTGGTGGGTTTGAACTGCTGACCTTCTGGTTAGCAGTCAAAGGCACTATCCACCAGAGCCACCTCCCATACAGTGTAACAGCCCTGCATCAGTGACACGTCCCGAACTTCACCCTAAATTGACCACTTAACGTTCAGTTGATTCCCAGTCCCAGTGCCCGCGTGACAGCATGTAACTGCCCTGCAGGGTTTCCCGGGCTGTCGTCTCCACAGGGACAGGTCCTCAGGCCCTCCTTCAGGGCCACTGGGTGCCTCTACCACCGTTCTTCGGTTAACAATCGAGGCCTTAACTATTGTCAAAGGACCCATCGGCTCTGAGAGCCTGAGCAGAGATGGGCAGACCGGGGAACTGGGCTCAGGAGCCTGTGGTCTGGGCTGCGTGGCCCAGTGGGCGGCCGGGATGCCCCATGTGGACATGGAAGCCCCCCGGAGCTCCTCACAGCACTCTTTCCTGGTGGCCTGCACTCCGTGACATACCACGCCCCCAGCCACCAAGGATGGACATGGGCGCTTCTGTCCCCCAGCCCCAGCCCCCTACTCGCTGTGGGCAGACAGCCATGGCGGCCGAGGCGAGAAGCAGCACGTCTCAGGCTGAGCAGCTCCCAAGGGCAGGGCTGGCGCTCAGCCTGCTGGTGGCACTCACGGGCCTGTACCCCCATCCCTGCCCATGGCATCCCCACTCCTGCCACCCATCCAACTGGCCCTCGGCTTCAAAACTGACTGGAGCCTCTGGCTGTGGTGGCGACAGGTGAGGAGGTGGGGGGTGGGGGGTGGGGGTGGCGACAGGGCCTCAGCTCACCAGGCTGCAAGCGGCTCAGGTTACCCTCTGACTAAGCCTTCTTGGGCAGAGGCTGGTCCTGTGGGAGGCCTCCCACCGCCAGAAGCCGTAATGGCCCGGCTCCCCAGCCAGTAGATCACACGTGTAATCGGCCGACCCACAATGCCACAGTGGTCTTTCTTTACAAAACTCAAAACCCACATCTGCTTGAGCGAATCAATGACTAGAGTGCCAGACGCTCCCAGCGCCCAGCCCTCACCCGCGGCCTTTCTAAGGACGGACCGTCAGCATCTAACCGTGGCTCTGACTCCGTGATGCCAGCTTCCCAAGCAGGATTTCTTCGTGGTTCTGTGCCCACTAAGCTCTGAACATCTGGGGTGATGGGGGGCCGGCCTCCAAGCCTGTCTCTCCTGATTGAATAAGCCTCCCAGTGAGGCTCTGGGTGAAGTGTAGCCAGTGCCCTGTGGTATCTGACTAGCACCGGGCAGGGAGGTGGACCTCAGCCCACATAGCTGCTTTCCAAGCAGGCCGGCCGATTCCTAGCCTGAAGTCACCCACTGTGGCTTTCCTGTGTGCCCGCTTATTCACTGACATCAGGGCCTCAGTCAGGTACCACGTGGCCCGAGAGCAGTGAAGACCCCTAGGCCAGGAGTCAGGGCACACTCTGGTCCTGGCTCCGCTCCTCTAAGACCTGCGTCCTAGAGCCAGCGTTCTCCCGCAAAATGCCTGTGGTCCTTCCAGCCTCTGATTCAATGGGCCCTTGCTCCCTCATCAGTTGAGAGCTTTAAATCTGGTGTTTGGGGGTGGAGCACCCCCCTCCCAATTAAATGAAAACAGCCTCTGGACAGACACAGGAACCCCAAAGCAGAACGAAGTGCCCTAAGTAGGACAGGATGACACGACAACCGATGACTTTCGTAAGTATGCTTTAAACCAAACTGCAGCACGAGGCACCCTGTGGTTTAAGGAGCCAAAACACCAAATGCAACTTTAATTTCAGCCCCAAAGTCAGGAGTCTGTTCAACTAAATGAACCAATAAGGGGTCTGAAGTCATTTAATACGATTCTCTGTGAACCCCAAGCAACCACTAACTCCCAGAGGAACAGAACGCTAGGGCTCAGAGAGCTTCCAGGATGACACAGTCATTGGGCTGATGGCAAATCAAACCGCAGAGTGGCCAGGTGACGAGGCCAGGGTCATGGAGAGAACCCACTGCACCCACATCCCCTGATTCACTCAGCTTGTGTTCTCCACCAAGGGCAAGACTCAAGGTCTGGGCTGGGGCTGAACCATGTGACGGTGAATGAATGAAGTTGGGGTATTCCCTCACCCTCCAGCCCCTACCAGGTTATGGAGAATCCCGTAAGCCAGAGGGTGCCCTCCACAGCAGCCCTGCCACAGAGCCAAACAATCTACCGACAAAGACAAGCAGAAGGCAAAGAAGCCACCCCAGGAGCTTGGCCTCTTTCTGGGTAGCCCCACTGCAGTGCTTGTTCATACCGAAACACACAGATCTCAGGCCTTCAAAGTATGGCCCTGGGGACCAGGAAGGGGCCGGACACCCCCAGGCCACTTCTGGCTGCAGCACCCTAGGACATCGGAGACCCCCTTTCTGGATGGGGTTAGAATCGCAGCAACCAGAGAGGTCATACTGGGGGTCTAGGAAGTCGGCTTGGGGAAAACCACACCAGCGCATGGAATCGGCATAGGAGGAATCATGCAAGAGAACGGGCCAGGTGGAGACCAGAGGGCGAACCCGGCTCAGGAGGCGCCAGCCAGGGCGGGGTCGGGGCTCCGGATCGGTCCAGTCTCCCCGGAAGGGCGCCAGGTTGGGACCCTGCGGACAGACCGCGATGGGTGGGGTTGGGGCGAGGGTGGAGCAGCTGGGGGTGGCCGGGGACCCGGCCGGCTGGGGTGGGCAGTGCACTGGGGACGGCACGAACCGGGCCGGCAGGAGCCTGATGACGCCAGGGCACTGGGAAATCACGGCCGGAGGGCCGGGGAGCTGGGGAACGGGCTGGGCTGTGCAGGCGGGGACGG